TGATACAACATGGTAGGAATCTAAAAGATTTTATATTGGTTTATAGCAAACTTTGGAACAAAATATAAAAGTAGTTATTTGCAAAACATGAAATACACAATTTTCTGAGAGAAAAAAAGATTAATTTTAGTTATAATTTTCTGAATCACAGTGAGTCAAGCAATACTAACAAATTACTGGACTATGGACAAAAATGAAAAAGTCATAAAAACGAAACAAGTAAAAGAAAAGACAAGTGGGTAAGCTACTACTAAATATTAGGTTGTTGCAAGGAAAAATGTATCATGACTTTCCCGATGACCCAATAAGGCTAGAATGTTAAAGTCAGTAACATATGCATGGGGGAAAAAAGCACTATATAAGAGTCTTTAAAAAATTCTATCTTGCTTTCAAACGCCACTACTAATTCACTGAATATCATTCAGGGGTATTTCGGGCAATATGTCGAAATGCTCTTCTATGTGTATTGAAACTAGTGAGTGTAATGCTCAGATTGAGTAAATCAAATAAAATGCATTGTTTATACAGAAATCAATATAATTATAACAGGAGGTCTAAAATTTGATTCCTGCAAGAAAGAACTTGGAAACAATAAGCAAAAAGAAACATGTCTTACTTCTGGTGTAAATCTTTTGAACTCAGCCATCCAGTTAGGAAGTGTAGACAGTGGGCCACAGACAAGGAAAGGTCCAGGTACTCCTCTCTGAACCATCAATGCAATTGTAGCAATGCACTGAACTGTTTTTCCCAATCCCATTTCATCGGCTAAAATGCCATTAATTCCATTTTCCCAAAGCATCTGGACAAAATAATATGCACTGTGCTTAAATTCTGATAAAAACACTTACTGAAAAGCAATCAATTGTTTACTTACTTTTTAACAAATCAAAGATGAAAATTATGATGACTGACATATTCATTACATAATTACAACACTGAGGGAAGTCCTTTAACAAAGTCCTAAGTATTAGAACCCTTTAACAAGATAATTCTTATTTAAATAAATATATTCTGACTAAATAAATCAGAAAATAAATATCTATACATACAGTTTATTTTACATATAAGTAGTGAAACATGGAAAGAATGACTTAGGTTGGTATATATCACCTTATTTTGCTATTACATAAATGAACCAATTTTAAACATGACAATTTATTACCCTAAGCCATTCCATGCCTTCAACTTGGTACCACCGCATCACTCCTCCTGTGAAGTACTTAGGTTGTTGAAAGGGTACTGGCTGTCCATTACATGTCCGAACTGGGTCAAAAAATAATTTAGTATTCCGCCTAACAGTCTGAGATAATCTATCTTTAATTATACTATTTGAATCTTTGTTTTTCTGAAGATCTTCTACACAGAGATTAGTAGAAGAGGAACTTTCATCCTGTAATGAAATAAGTTTAATTAGATGTATGATACAAAATGTTGCTATATCCCCAATCTTTTACCAGAAAATTAATAATCAAAATTTACCAATCCTGTATTTGCATTAGGTACAGAGCACTAAGATCATATGCAAAATTAAAAACTTAAGAGATATCTACATTTCCTTAACAAATTCAAAGCCATTAAACTTAACAACAAAATTCTGAAAAAAAAGTCTTAACAGAATACTACTACCATCAGGCACATACTTTGGGGAAAAAAGTATTTACAACTGTACCTCCCTTCCAAAATCCTATATTAATGCTGCTCTAAAATTTACTAAACTATTTTCTTAATCATCTCCTTAAACCTTCAGGGAGGATGTCTGTGGGGAAAAAATCCTTTCAGGAACCGCAGCAACATTTACTTTCATCTAAGTAATTATTCTCATTGCAGGGAAAAGAGCAAAGCAGAAGTTTAAAACAGTACATTAAACTTAAGATTGCCACTTGATCTTATTTGAAACACTCAGTACCAATTCATGACCAATGGTAGATTTTATTCAGCAATGTCTGTAACTCCAGTTTAAGAATATGCAAAACTGAAACTAAATTAATCCAAAGGAAAGTGTTACAAATGATGCTGAAAAAAACAGGATATTCAAATGGAAAAATATGTACCTTCTGACATAAAAATTAATTTGTGACAGATCACAGACTTAAACATAAAACTTAGAACTATAAAGATTTTAGAAAAAAACTGAAGGTCAGCTCCAGAGCACAGCAATTAATTGCAGTGCAATAGGGAGTGGGTCTCACATAACTAATACCAAATGCTGGAAATAACATTAACTAGAACTAAAATACTGCGAGAGAGGGGAAGATTTTATGATCACATTGGAAAAGGTCTGTTTTATCTTATAAAGTTAAACCATGCATTAACTATTACACTCAACAACAACAAAAATCACACACATGTTGAGTGAAGAGGAAAATAAAAAAAACACATGTTTATGCTTTACTTGTATGAAGTTGAAGAATTGGCAAACTAGCCTGTAAGACATTAAAAAGTGGTCTCATCTGGGTTTAGCTGGGGAGAAATAATTGGAAAGGCAAAAAGGGATCATAATACCATAATGGAAATATTCTACACCTAGATTTGGATGGTGGTCACACAGATATTTGCATAAAACTCATTAAAATAAACACTTAACTATTTTTGTATACTTACTGACTGATTATACATAAATTATAAAATGAGGTTCTAATTTCATAGTAAATCATGACAGATTAGATTGAAACTTAAAAAGAAAATGTTAAATGGTATGTGCACACTTGCTGGAGACAAAGAGAAAGGGAAAGTGAGAAAGAACCACCTATGGAGGATGGTCACCTCGCAGTTCCTTCTCATGTATCTCTCTTGAAATGTTGGGCATGCATGCACACACACCCTGCATATTTTTTAAGCCAGCAGGTCCAGGATTTGAAGCACAGTCATGATGCAGCTAAAGGGGCTGGCCCTAATAGCCTAGTAGCTATGGGAGTCAGATTTCACAAGGCCAACCCCAGCTCAAATCCTGGCCCTGGTAGCCTAAAAAACATCCCAGCTCAAAATGAACACCTCAAATCCCTACAGGATGGAGAAATGGTGAAGGGATTGCAGCATGACTAAGCCTCACTGGGGAGCGTGGTGCTTCCACCACCCCCACAAGTGCATGTACCCTCTGGCAATTAAATAAATAATAAATTAATTTTAGAATTAACTAAATAGGACAAGCTCCGTGGCCTGGTGGTTAAGGCAGTCAGATTCCACATGGCTAAACCCACCATGATATGAGTCCGAGACCAAGCAGCTTGAAAAATATACCAGGTGTATGTACCCACTATTACGAAAAGTGGAAGAGATGGAGAAGGCACTGCGGTGCGACCATTCCCCATGGGGCAGGATGCTTTCTCCTCTCCCTACCTCTGGTGAGGGTACCCACTAGCCAAAGAAAGGTGGGGGCAACTAAGTATAAAAAAAGCTTATTTAATCTTATATTTACACTTAACATGGTTATAATTTCGACTATAAATTAATCCTAAAACTGAATAAAAAATAAAAATCGAAGCACTTTACACTGTAAATTTTGGACCCACATGGAAAAGTCTTGAGTTCATGCCCCAGGATATTCCTGTATATATTAGGCAAGCAAACAAGTGCCTATAATCCAGGCTAGCTGAGACCAGCTGGTGGATGATGGTATGAGGACCCTGTGTAGGTGCCTGCCTCTCCATGTTTCTGCCTCTAATGAAGAAATAAACAAATAAATGTTAAAATAAAAAAGAATTGGGACCAGCAGTTAGCATAATGGCTATGTCGCTGAACTCCCATGTAGTCGACCACGGTTGGAGTCCTGGACCCAGTGGCTTAAACTCACACCGGGCACATGTGTGTGCATGCCCAAGATCCCGAGAGGAGAATGGAGGAGAGGGGATTGCAGCGTGGCCAACCCCCTTGGGGGGTGATTTCTCACTTTCTATCTCTCTATCTCTGTCTTTCTGGCAAATGCACACATCCTATAGCAAAAATCTCTTTAAAAATAAATAAATAAAATAAAATAAAATAAAAAAGAATTTGTCATCAGAAAGTAACTATCACTCCTTAGTTTAGCTTTGTATTATAAATCTCTTACCTCATTCTCCTTTTTACTTTTTTTAGCCACAGATAAAATTTCCTGGAAGATTAAGAAAACAATAGCAAATTAATAACATAACACATTCTCAATATTAACCCAATTTTTAATATAAACATCTGAAAGAAATGGAAATATTAAAACAGGTAAAAAAAGTCAAAAGCAATCCTTACAGCTCCAAGTGGGTCAGAATTTATAATAGGTCTGACTCAGTATCATGTATTATGTTCTCCCCTTTTACTTTTACCTCTTTTGACATGACCTCTGAAATATTGTATGATTCATCCTCTCTTCCTCTTTTCTTCCTTACTGCTGCAAAAAACAAAATAATAATCTTATTTTTTATAGCAGTTCAAACAGAAATATAAATGTATATTCTTCAAAATTAGAATAAAGATATTTTTACCTGGATTCTCCTCACTTGCATCAACTAAATTCTTGCCCTACAAAATAAAGATTTGAACAAAACATTTTACTAAGGACTTTAATGGTATTACATACTAAAAGGCACTAACTTGAGAGAAATAAATGTCCCTACTCCTGAACCACATCCACAGTTGTTCACTATTGTACTTTCTCTGTACTTCTCTACAACCAGTTCATGATTATATCCCTCCTGCTGTTCCCCAAGGGTTTTATTTCCTCAACTGTTTTTTTCCATTTAGGAAAAAAAACATTTATACTGAAGATATTCAATGAGCATATTGTCGAAGAAGTACCTAAGTAAAATTTGTAAATTAATACCATTAAAAATAGAAACAAGTGCCAGGGGTGGCATGGTTGTTAAGGCACTGGATCCCACATGGCCAACAGTGTAGTTTGAGTCCTGGACCCAGTGGCTTGAAGAACATGCAGACCATGTGAGAAGGGACTGTGGTGTGGCTATTCCCCCAGGGGATGATTTCTCACTTTCCCTCTCTCTCCATTAAGCATATACACCCTGTGTGTGTGTGTGGGGGGGAACACTTAAAAAAAGAAAAAGAAAATACTAAGCAAAAAATATTAATGGTGGAGAGGCAATGCAAAGAATGTCTTATCAGGGATAAATGGACAACACACATAAGAAATGAAAACAAACAAAAAATAAAGGGCAAACTTAAAAGTAAGCTAAAAAGTTAAGTGGATAAAAAAGAAAATAACAAAAAGGATTGGTGAGGTAGAGTAGGGAGAACTTCATGATTGACATCTTGAGAAAAAAAGGGGAGGTAGGCAGACACAAAACCCTGATGAAGTTAGGTAGGACAAAGTAAAAGATATATTAAGAGGCAGAAGAAGCCAGGCCTTCACAAGAAGGTTCCACATGGCTCCAGCGAACTAGATTTTTCAGGGAATGAAGATTTTCTACCAATAATTCAGCCTCCAACAAACGAGCTAGCGGCTGAATTTCAGGAATTTGAAAGAAACACACCACCCATCAGATGACAAGAAATCACCGCCGGATAACGATAAATATGGGAAAACGAGAAAATACCTCTCCTCCAAGGGAAAAGAGTAACTCTTCTTCATCCACAAGCAGTTCGGTGAAAATCATGGAAACGTCTGATAAGCTATTTAGAGCATTCATAATCTCGAAGCTAACAGAGATAGAAGAGAAGAGAGATAATGAACTGCTAAAGAGAAAGGAGAAAGAAGCTGTCGAGTTCCAGGAGATGAGGAAATTCTTGCAAGATCTAAAAGAGGAATTACACACTTTACAAAAGACTCAAACGGAACTGCAAGAGATGAAGTCTATAATACAAGAAGTCAAAATCTCCCTGGAAAGTATTAAAAGCAGACTAGATCATTCAGAAAATAGAATCTCAGATGTAGAAGAGAAAATAGCTGGCCTGGAAAAATCCACCACGAAGACTGAGAAAATGGCACAAAAATTTGAGAATAATATGTGAGAAGTACTGGATACCATCAAACGTCCAAATATCCGGATAACTGGCATTCCAGAAGGTGAAGAGACCCATAAGGACATTGATAATCTATTCCATGAAATCCTGCAAGAAAACTTTCCAAACCTAGAGAGGCATTCGAAGATCCAGT